CCATCAGTCTCAACTTATGCAGGAGACGTTGGTGTGGAACACTGTCAAATGCAAGTTAAGAGTTAAGTTTGCTCTCCTGAGAATTTGCCAGTAAACACACAGACTTCGGAATCGAAAAGCAATTAAATTGACTATACGTGAGCTTCGATTTTTACTCCTTCTAATTATCAATATATTTTGAACGCATGAATGATTAATTTTGGTTTACTGACTTCGTCAAACATCACGGAAAGATAATTTGATATTGAAGTATATGTAACATCGAACCAAAAGCTCAATAAAAAAAGTAACTTTTGGTCCCTTTGAGCAAAAATTAAGGGAAAAAATTTACTTTTAAAAGCTAGGGTTCACTCCACGGATTATGAAATGTGTTGTAAAAACCTAAATAGGCGTGTAGCCTTGTCACATTCCCCCTCAAGGGATGTATTATCAAAATAGTTGAGACTTGATAATCATTTTATATTCCTTATTGTTTGAAAGTCCGTAATCGTTTAACTTTATCTTCTTATTTGCGTTCATTAAAAACAATTATACTTTGTTTTAATCTTCCAATTTGTATTACCTTCATTGATGTCGCAAAAACAAAGGTTTGGCCGAAACTTTTTTTCATCATTGTGGGTATAATTTCTAGCAGATTTAATGCATAAAATCGAACTAACGCCGCATTTGCTGTTTTTGAAATGCTTTGAAAATTTCGACTTTAATTTTTGCTTAGTTTCGGTATAAGTTATATCCTCACAATTAATTAGCTTTTCTTTTTCCCTGAACAGCTACTACATACAATGGCAATGAAAAGACATTGAACTATATGTAAATCAATGGTGATAATAGTCTTGTGATGTTAAATATGGATCACGAAAGCGTCCAAAGTACACGTAGCGAAAAAAGCGATCGCGGGCATACTCACATTCAGCAACCACAGTCTTTCCCAGTAGCCCTTTCAGACTCGATACAACAGATGAGCTTTTCGCCCGCAGCAACCAATGGTTGCCTTTATCCTCACGATGATATCCGAAATCATCCTGAGATGCAGGGAATGGGAATTCCACTTAGCCAACAACCTATGTATCATCCACAAGGTGTTCCACAGCAGCACCCAAATTATCCTCCCCCGTGGAATAATCCACAGCCACCGAGGAATGCTCCTTATCTGCCATATTCTCCTCCGAACATGTTTCCACCTCAACAATGTATGAATAT